GTCTTAAAATGCAGATGGTTCGTTTTTTTTCAACGTTACATTGTTAGGGATATATCGCTGGCTGAGATATATCACTGGCTCATTGAAATCTTATCCGCCATTTTGAAAAGCACGAGGCACAGAGGACAGTCAAGAGGAGGATTATCATACGAGCTTTTTGGGTAACGACACATTCCCCAACCTTTACGATGCACTAGTGTATGAGCGAAAATTTAAGAGTGAATATTTGGAGAGACAAATTTACTAGCAATCACGTAAGAGTGAACCTTCCATCGTGAAACTTTTCGAGAGTAAAAGCGACTTATCAAAGCTATCTACATTGAGTGAACATTTATCGAGAATCAAAGCGAACACTTATCAAAGCTAACTTTATATCATCTTCAAAAACGCGCTACAAGGCGATCTAGATGTGCTCCTTAACCGAGCAGAATTCCACTGCTATTTGTAAGAGGTCTCAACAAAAAGAATAGCATGTTGAAGACATTTGTCTTCAAAAAGATTTCAACGATTGACATGCCGAAGTCTTCAAAGCTCCATCGCTATGTTAATAAGGTGAGAAAAAACTTTATCATGCACGATATAAATGTAATAACAAATGCGATCCAAAGATAATTAACTTAAATCAAATGGCTATACCCAAGAAAGCTTATTTGTTGTCTTTCTTTAGCAGACATTATCACAGGATAATGAAAAATGTAAAGCACGTCGATATTCATCATTGTTTTCTTGAAATTGTGTGAGTCATATGGCCAATTATGTGAATTTCAAACTAAGGACCTGTTTACATGGAGTGGGGGACCCCAGTCTAGTGGGGTTGGTTTTTTTTGTTTTCACGCTCTGGAGGAGATAAAACAAAAGAAACCTACCCCACTAGACCGGGGTCCCCCACTCCATGTAAACAGGGTCTAAGTAAAGATGTTGAGAAGAATCCAGGACCAACTCAATACAACACTGATCATCATTAGACCTTTTATGCAAAATCACAGCTCAACAATGCAGTTGATCTCTCCTATTTCCTCTGAGAGTTTGAAGCAGTCAAGATTACGTGAAGTTGGTTTACAATTAATAGATGTTGGCAGTGCAGGTGATTGTTTCTTTAGATCTGTATAACATCAATTATATGGCAATAGCAATCATCATATGCATATACATACTGCTGGGGTTCAATTTATGAGAGACAACCCAGAGAGATAATAAATACTCATAGGTCACGTGCAATGAAATAAAATATCATCCTTATTAGTATTTTTTTATATCAGGAATACTAATAAGGATGAAATTTTTAAACAAGAATATCAATGAAGCAAAATACAATCAGCCCCACACTCCTCTGAAACTGAAATCAAATGCTGTCCCCAGACTTTTTAGTTATTAACACATTTTTGAGTTGTTCTGGCGGAAAATTTCCGTGAGCAACAGAACTTCTGAAAAGGTGGTCCTGTTTTTCCGGACAGAATGTTCCAAACAGAAATTCGTGTTCCATTTCTTCAAAGCCATCTTCGGTACCAGTTTTAGGCTCTCACGGGCAATTAATGTGCAAGCTCAACAACAATCATGGCGAATCAAAGGGACACTCCAGAGCTGAATACAGATATTTACGAATGTGCATCTTGTCATATGCTCACCAAAGATCTTGTTATGAATCATAATTGTGCTGCATATGTAAATGGTAAGTGAAATGTCCAACGCTTTACATCGCTAGAAAAGTCGAATTTTACTGGCAGCTTTCTTTCGCTGTTTCCCGCGTTTTCATTCATGTTCATGTGTTGATAGAAAACTTTCATCCTTATACTCTGCAGTCACTGTTCCAACCGTTGAACGTTCTACAGCTTCTCCTTCTCCATCTGTATGCTCTGAAATGTCAGACGGGCCTTCGAAAGTTGAACTGTGGGAGAATGCTGATGTTAGACTTCTCATTCCTATCTGAAGCGATCATAAACATTTGTTTGGCGGGAAAAGTACGAAGAAGGAAGTTTTCGACAAGATAGCGGAGCAATTCACCGCCACTTCTGGACAACTGGTTACTGGGGAACAGTGTATAACGAAGTGGTCTAAACTATTAACAAAGCAAAAAGAAGTTGAGGACCACAACAATAAAAGTGGAAAGGATAGGAAAAGTTGGAAATTTTACAATGAGCTTTCTCAATGTCTTGCCAAAGACGTTTAACCTATGTACACGGTGGAAAGCTCGTCAAATCCATTAGACTGTGACGGTCAGAAACCATCAGACAACGATGAATCTTCCTCAGAGTCTGTAGTTGAAGGTCCGCAATCCAGTGATTCTGCCGGAAAAAGAACGGCAAGTGCTAAGAAAAGATGCCAAAAGAAGCCAAGGAGCCGATCCTCGGCGGCGGAAATGCTAGAATTTCTAAAGACTTACAGTGAGAAGAGAGAGAAGGCAGAGGAAGAAAAGCTGAGGAGTTTAAAAGAAATGAATGACCAAAAAACAGCTTTTTTTGACCGCTTTTTTCAATTTATGGAAAAAAGTAAAAATAACTAGAGTGATGCGCGGTGTTAGTAATACTGCTGTTAGTGATGAACCTTCCCTGTATGGGTGTGGTGAGGTGGGAAAGGCATGGGGTGTACGGTAAACGAAATTGGACTTTAAGGATGTATGTTAAGTTCACCCCTCTCTCTCTCTTTATATAGATATATATGATGAAACAGTTGAAATATTCTTTTTATATTTGTATCCTTTTTTTGGCAGCTGAATGTAAAATTGTTGAACAAGCATCCTTATAATTAATACAAAATGGCCTTTATTGCACCATTACAAGGAGAGCTTGTATAGCTTTATAGCCAGCAAATGGTACCTAGAAAATGGTAGGTCTCTGAGGGCCTGTTCATATGAGGTGAACCAGACTGGGAGCAGGACTGGCCCACTTTACTGGGCTGGCTTGGCTCATACCTAATTTCTCTTTAAGTTTTTGTTGTGTTTATATAAGAAGGCAGGCTGGTTCTTTTGTTGAGATCTCGGTTCAAGTAACCGGGATCTCAGCAGGGCCAGCCTGCCTTTTGATGTAAACAAACAAAAATTTTATGAGGAAACAAGGCATGGGCCAAGTCAGCCTGGTAAAGCGGGCCAGCAGGGCTAACTGGGCTGGCTTGCCTTGTATAAACAGGCCCTGAAAATATTTGATCTCTGATCTCGAAGTCTCATTGCGTTTTCTTTCTAGCACAGAGTTTAGAGCTTGTTACAGCAAAGTCACAGATGTCATAATTCATTAACTCTCATTTGCAAAGCATGTTTTGTCCAATTAACTTTTTTTTTATGATATTTGGTTTCATTTTGTAAGTTAATAACATAACCTCGTTAATTTGGAAAAGAAACAACGATGTATTTTGCACTGTATTAGCATTTCAGGGACCATGGTCGGGCATAAGCTACAGGTGCATTGCTGTATTTGCTACCTAAAACTCCTGAGCACCTGCTAGTACAACTTCATGACATGCTGTACGAATGAATGATTTTCTGATGCAACTTTTGCAGCTCCTTGTCCCCGACAAACATCCCCAAAAGAGAGCTGTTCAATAAACAATTTCACTGTTAGTATTGTCCAGTTAGAACAGCCTAGCTATTGCCTTGTTATGTTCTTGTTATTTTCTCTTGTGATTTAAAGGGACCATAAGACAAATTAAGAAACCCAAAATTAAGAACAACATTATTTGTAATTTGGAAGTAGACATGGTCAATGAAGAAATATTTATTATTATTTGTTACCATCTTAGTTGTGTTGAAGACTTTGCCATATGGTTTATAAGAATGTCTGTATCATCCAAAAGGGGTTTTTACAATGTCCTCAACAGGATATTAACATTTTCTGTAGTACATAACATAGTGTTAGCAATTTACACAAATTAATAAACATAATAATGTTGCGTTTACTTCTGACTCTCTTTGACCCTGCTTTTTTAAGTTCTCAGTTTACCTCGGCTTAGTAAGTCCCCTCAAAAGCAATCATTTGGCTTCTCTCATAACAGTTCTCCTCCATTTGGTGTTGTTGGATAAGCCAATCATTGACTGTCTGGCAGGAGGCAAATGTATCTAATTTGTGCTGCTTTGCTTGACTGTCAGCCTAAATATACACATTTCCTGATTTGATTAAAAATCAGAATGGCATCCCAAAGAAGTACAAAGTCGATGATATTGAAACCCTCAGTTCCCCACCAATAAATATGAGACCGTAAATGATATACTGCTTCATGTTCATCCACTCATAACTTTGCTACCAAAACAAAATTGAATTTGCTGTAACTTGTATTGTTAAGCTAAAGAGGGAAAAATGTCAAAACTTAAAGCACTGTGTACAACCGTCTTAACAAACGATATTCATTTGTTGGATTCGGCTTGCTTCTACTAGTCTAACACCCCCTGGGCCCCCTGGTGCACATCCATCAAGCCCAACACAGCCATCATCTCCACTGTCATCATTATGTAAAAAATAATTTTCATCAAAGTCATCATGTAAAATACAAAAATTGTGGAGAACACATGCTGTCATAATCAAATGGACCATCAATTCTATATCTAGGAGTTGAAGCAGGCTAAGTTTGCGCCATCTTCCCTTCAGAAGACGTATTGCTCTTTCAACCACTTGCCGAATTGAAGACAGTATCTGATTGAAACGCTGAGCCACCTAAAAATAACCAGAAAGCCAGTTGTCAGTTAAAGAAATGTAAATTCAGCTTGAAATTATCTTACACAGAGACATTAGCCTTTCAGGCTTTACAATTTTGAACAAGTAGATTCTGTCCTGATTACTATAAACATCTTGAGGAGAACTTATGGGACTGTGCAAACTCCTTGACAAAAAGAGTAGACTGTGTGTAACTTACAAATGACCTAACTATGCCATTAAGTTTTGTTTCTACATGCAGAAAACAAACCTTTGTAATGGGTAGCCACCATCATCGAGGAGATGGGTTGCTCCAGGGCACTTATTGGCAGCAGTTGAACACAGAGAGGAATTTCTTAGAATACGAGAATCATGCACTGATCCTGGCCATCCTGCCAGTACATCACGAAATATCATGTTGTCATCACAGACAAGCTACAAGTATCAATGGTATCATTGATTATTTGTAATGACTTCAATGATAATAGGCCACTTGCACTAAGGGGTCACGTGACCAATGCTTCCAAAGCTACTTAGTGACCTCTTAGTGCAAATGGCCTATTGTTTTTAAATAGAACAGTTTTGTGCTTTATTTCTAAAGTAAAGAAAAAGAACCCAACGGCCAACACAGACCACTGAACAGTTAGTCAAGGAGCATAAGAAAAAAAAATAAGCAAATGGCATATTTATATATAATTCTAAATATGAATATCCTCTTGGCTGATTGTCTTGAATGGCTTCTTTGACTATAGAAATAAAGATGCTTTACATTTCATATCTGGAAGGCTAAAGAAAACAAGAAATCTTAACTTCAAACTTTTATTACAAGATTTAGGGTAATTGTAAAAACATGACAAGAAAAGAATTACATGCCTGGGTATTAAAGGAATGGTATTTTTTTCTGTTAAAGTAAGCATTAGTTTGATCGACTGGAGCTCGAATCCTTATATGTGTACCATCGATGGCACCGATTATTCTCAGAAACCCAGATTGTGCCTCAAAGTTCTGCATTATTGCACGCATCTCATTTTCTGCAGAAAATGCATAAGTTTACCTTACAATATAAACATTACAAACTGAAACAAGACTAGTCACTAACAAATACCTTCTTTAATTTGACAACACTCTGACAAAAGAAAATCCAATCTAAACGTACCGTTCGGCCATTTGATGTATTCTTCTAGGAGAGTTATCACTGCTTCAGATACCCTTTTTATGATCCGCTCTAAGCTACTGAGGGTAACATTGAACCTGTCGGCGACAGACCTCATACTTTCCATGTTGGAAATAAACCAAATAAACGTCAAAACCTGCTTATCAATGGGTATTGGTTTTCTTCCAAAACGATTTCCTCTAGGGATTGAACCTGTGGCTGCCACTTCTCTGCTCAATGCCTCGAACTTTGTTCTCGTCATTTGAAAGTGGAATTGAAAGTGAAACTGAATTCACTGACAGAATACAACGGAACCAAGACCTCATAAAAGTTAGCATTTCTCTTAAGGTCATTTCTCACGAAAGGCATTATCGATCCTATTAAATGAATTTCTTCTTCGTCTTCACAGCCGAGAAGCTCATTGACTGCTTCATCCAACATTTTGTTCAGCAAGATTAGTTTCTCTGCCATCTTGAATGGCAATCAGTCCCAGGCTCGCTCCTCTTTAGTTGGGAATTTTCCTTGAAATGGAACACGGGCTTCCCATGGAAATTGCCATTCAGGGTTAAAATGTGCTCCATTTACTGCAACGGTTAACCAGCCGGTTTTTCCGATTAAATGGTAAACACCCAGTGTTTTACCAGGGTTTAAAACACGAGCACGTGACAGATTTCAGCAGACGTGATAGGTTGTTTAGCTCATGAATTAATAATGAGTTTTTGAATGTACAAGAAAGAAAAAATATAAAGTAGATGACATCACTGCTTCGTGTTGGCCGAGTTAATAGAGGAGGTAGTTGAACTTAAATAATGATACTGCAGCAATAATACAGTTTGAATTGGGAGCATGACGGGCTTTGCTCACCAAAAAAAATTATGCAAATTAGGCGAAAGGTAGATTGAATCTACCCATGGCTTATTATTAACTGAAACAGGAGAGTACAATTTGTGCCTTAACCAATGTGCTACTTAGGAATTCTCGGTGATTACTTTTTTTGTATTTACCGGCATCCTAAAACACTTGGCAAGGGAATCACGAGGCCTTTAAATAAGACATTTCTTGACATAATAAGAGGTTTGCGAAATACAGATGCGCATTTGTTGCCTTTACTCGCGTGGAAAAAACATGTCAACAGTTACTTCTCATGGGAAATCGTATTCAACGCATTGCTCTACTGTAAAAAAACCCCGCTGTTTATTGATGGCATAACCATAAATATAAATGGTAATAGCCAGAGAAGTAACTCTCACTTGAATCGGATAATTGAAGATCAAAAACCAAACCTTAACGAGAGCGGGGTTTATATCTATTACTAAAGATAAATTGAAAATGAGACATAAGCCCTTTGCCGACTCGAAAAATATTATGACAAGCTAAAGTTAACCACCCGAGGAACTAAATTCCCGAAACATTTTAATGATGGCTTCAAATCTATTCTTACAGAGGGAATGAAATTATCTACAATTATGTCAATCGAACAGTATACTCTGTTACTGTGTAGTCGGCATGAACATTATACAAAACAGCATCAGCAAAAAGGTTTCGATGTGATAAATTAATTACATTTAGTGACCTGTGATAAATTAATGTTTACTCAATGAGAATGATTTAATCCCTGACAAACTATGATTGCCAAAACAGGAACTTTTGGAATTCTTGGACATGAGTAACTACAACCGACTTATAACAGCTTCATTTCAATAGCAACTTGATTCGGAAACAATAAATCGT